AAAAAAAAAAAAAAAGCCACGTGTCATGAGTGTCACTATGGCCCATAGCGACACCCATGAAAACTACCCCAAAGGTATAAAATGTTTCAAAACAGCCCCATTTTAATATTTTGTTTGTAAAACTACACTATAATGGTCGTTTAGCCGCATTGCAAGCTTCCAAATTTCACACAAGGAATCCTTTTTATTCCTAACCTCCTACTACCCTAGCTTGAATCAGAATGTGGGAAGCATGGTCTTTCATCTTCAAAGCAATGACATCTAGTGACTGAAGCTGGAAAAAATCTGTTAATTAAATCACAAATGTTAATTATTAATTATTATGTTAGTGAAAAAATTTGAATTCAAGTTCTCCTTATCACTTCGGCCTATATCTCAACCACCATATCAACCCTATGTCACTTGATAAACTAATTTATTTATATATACAATTTATTATAAATTTTAATTATATAATAAACATGCATTTCACAAATTAAAATATTAATTTTTTATAACTTTTATATAAATATTTGAAAACAAAATAAATAACATACTAATTAATATTTATTAATATTTAGGTTAAATTTTAATTTTAATCCACTCAATATTGTTTGTTTTGTTACTTAATATTTAAGTATACCAATATATGACATATATATATAAGGGGCAACTCAACTAAGAATAGTTACTAATATAAGAATACGAAGACAATTAATTACAACCCTTAGATTAAACAGATGACTTAGATCAAAAGATTTAAATAAAATTATCATGTATCATCATCATTTTAATTCTCTATATCATTATCTCTACCTCCACTTTTATCATACAATCGTCACATCACTATCGTCACTATTGTTGTTATTGTCGTCGTCACTATCATTACTATTGTCATCCATGGTGACAACAACAATATGATATTAATAATAATGGTGGTGGTAAAAATGGAGGTAATGATGATTACAATAACAATAATAAAAAATATCAATAATGAAGAAAGCTATAATAACAGTGATACGTTGTAATTTGAGTCAACTCCTTCACATGTGTGTGTCTATCTAGCTAGCACTACTATATTTTAATTCTTTAATTACATTTTCTTTCTTACATTTGTTAAAATGTTACTATATATTGAATAAATAGGTTATTTTGTAACATTTTTTTTTTCAATAGATAGAGTAACATTTTTTATTTCAATATTATTCTTTTCAATTATTTTTAAAATCAAAGTCTCATATCAAGTAAAAAAAAATGTTACATGAGTTATTTTGTAACATTTTTTTATTTCAACATTATTCTTAATTTCATTGATGAAATGATATGTCATTTTATTAATTCAAATCAACATTAACATATATATTTTATAATTTTTATTACTTTAGAGTCCATTAAAAGCAAAGGTTGAGAGAGAATGGGAAAAAGAATATTGGGCTAACAAAAGAATCAAGCCCAATTGTATATATGCAACACATTAAATTGAGTCGAGGCACAACACGCCCACAATATATGGTATGATTCCCACCCTAGACCACTAAGTATAGTCAGTAAGAACCCATAACTTAAGTTATTTTCAAGCTAATATTTCATGAACCCAGTCTAGTTTGGCATCTTTGTTAATAGTTGATTTTTTTTATTTTTTTTTAACTCGTTCCTGCCGAATCCACTGTAAAAATAAAGTGGTATTTTTTTTGTCACAATTTTATGATCAAGATGAGAATTAAATCCTAATCTTTAATTAAAAAATATATATGTCAAACCATTTATATTAACAGTTTTTAATTAGTTAATAGTTGATTTATTTATCGTAAAATTTAATAAATCTTATTTTGAACGAAAACATTGTTTTTTAAGTTTGTTCTAACTTATCCCATTATAAAAATGAAGTGATATTTTTTATCTTAATTTTATGATCAAGATAAAACTTAAATTCTGATCTTTAACTAAAAAATATAAATATAAAATCATTTAAATTAACAGTTTTTAGTTAGTTAATAGTTGATTCATTTATCTAAAATCCACTAAATTTTATTTTGAATAAAAACATTGTTTTTAAGTATGTTCTAACTTATATATGTAAATTACTGATATATTTTGATTAAAAAATAAATAAAAATATGTTGATAATATATATATATACAGAGGAGAGATCATTTTATTCTAGGAGTAAGTTTACCTAGACTTATTTCGTTCAATAACTGATGTTCTATATTAAATTTCAACGATCTAACCATTCAATTTAAAGTTCTTAATGCATAGATTAAATCTGCAAATTTTTATAAAATTTAAAAACTATTTGATACTTCGTTTCATTAATCTAAATTAATGTATAAAATAATTTTATGATTATCTGTGAATTTAAATTAATGAAATGAAGTATCAAATAATTTTTAAATTTTCTAAAAATTTATAAATCTGATATATGCATTAAGAACTTTAAATTGAACGATTGAATCGTTAAAATTTGATATAGAACATGAGATATTTAACGAAGTAAGTCTAGGTAAACTTATTTCTATCTCTCCTCATATATATCTATCTGCTATAAACTTTTTTCTCAGACGTTGTCGCTGCAACCCCTCTCATCTCTCACATTGTTGCTACAACCCCTTTTCACATATTGAGCTAGTTTATAGAATAATATGATGGAGAATATTCCGGCGAACGAACTCAAATTTTCTCAATGTCAATTGAATGAAACTTCACTTTGATTTCCTTCTTTTGCAATTACTTGTGAAATTGTGGAGTTGTTCAGTCTGTAAATATATTTTTGCTTTTCTAAAAAGTAGTGAATATTAAAAAAATACCAAATTGCTTTAAGAGAGAAAAAAATATAAAACTGGATGCTCTATCTTGTCGGAGAAAAATGGTGCTCGATGAATGATGATGATGAGAAAAAATAAAACCTACTGCTGAGTTGAGTTTTGAGTGGAAGAA